ATTTTAAATATCTTCCAAAGTATATCATCAAATTAAAAAATTGTTCTATCACTCGATTTGATTAATTTAAAGAGGTAAAATGCAGATGCAAGAAAAATACCTTATAAGTGCGTCAATTTGCATTACAAAATTCGTCTTATTCTACGATTGTTATTTAATAGAGACATGATCTTTTCCGCGAAAGCATATCAGATAAGAAATTCAATTTTATCATGCATGTTTGAGCTATGTTAATGGAATCATTCTATCTTAATTTATATGATTTTATAGTATTCGTACACTTGGTGTAGCCGCGTTATCATTGTGTTACGTCGCGATGGGAATTGTGGAGGCTTATTACATTGAGGGGCCAGGAATTTCGACTTGGGATATTGCTGCACCATCTTTAATCATTACAGAAGCAGGTGGTGTAGTTGTTGATCGTGTGACAGGTAAAAAATTATGCATGGGCGCGCCTCTTTCCGATTCTTCTATTTCTATCAATGCATGTATAAGCATATCTTAAAGGGAAAATCTTTTAAACGGATTGCGAAACATATTGCAGGAGAAAAGATTAATATCATGGAACCACGTGCGATTGGAGCATGTAATGAAAAAATTGCGCAGAAATTGGTACAACTTATTCGTGAGGCCGATGAAAGGGTGAAATGAAGAAATTGCTAAATCGTCCTTCATACAATAATTACAGAAAAATCCTAAATTATATTCAAATGTTATTGTATGCGTTACTATAATATATATTGCATGTATTGGAAAATAAATAAAAATACTAAAAGGGAAGATTAATAGAAGTGTTGAATTGAGAAATTTAAAACAATTCAACGTATCCTTTAGAATCATTCAAGAAAAACCTCGTGACGAAATACCAGATGACACACTGATAGCGGGAAGTCCATCGTGAGTTACGGACGTGGTTTATTGACGCGGAAGAAAAAACCGGTAATAACGAAACGCTGGTGAATCCCCGTCGCTAAAGTTTTTCTCTATACCATTTATATTGATAATTATTTTCACAAAAACGTCTTGTAAGCATTTATTACATTGATATTATATAAAGTTACATCAAAAGAAAGTAAAAAATACTTTTTTAAAGAAAGATGTCAAAAAATCGGCTTTGAATTTGACGTACGAATGTGACGTAACAATCCCTTGATTAATTAGCCTTCACTAACAGAACAACATCAGACACAACATGTATTTGTTAGTGTAAATGTTAGCTGCATTACGTTACAGATTTTCATCTCCCACCTATTACATATTCGCCCCGCTCTTTTCTCTTTTTTCCATTCTAGACGCTATATAGGCCGACCAATGCATCATTGATGTCAGTGTCAGTCAGACAGAGATATAGAGTTCACACACACGCTGCTGAGAAGAATTTCAGATGATCGCGGTATAGTTATAATTGATAGTGGAAAAAGTTCAACTGTGAAAAATGAACGTAACGGACGACATCGAAGAATATTATAAAGCTGCCGAAGGACTTGTTCTAACGGCGGGAAAAGTACGAATGTATTACCATTTCGTATACGTACAGATAACAATCATCTGTTTGTGTTTCTGATAAGAACAACAGTGATATCTAAAACTTTCCAACAAATGTTTCAGATAATAGAGGGTGCAATTAATTTAAATAAAAATATAAAAATCAAAGGAATTGAATGGGATCTCGTTACGGAGTACGATCGAAGAATAGAGGATGATTTAAAAAGACAATTATCAAATATGTATCCACAGCACAAGTATGTACACATATTACATAAAAATCTCAAAATGTTTAAATTTAATGATAAAATGAAGAAACTTTCAGGTTTATTGGTGAGGAAACGACTGCAGAAGGAAATTGTTTGCCAAAATTAACAGATGAACCAACATGGATTATAGATCCAATAGATGGTAC